TAACCACGTGCAGGGCCAGTCAGGACAAGCGAGGCTTCCACATGGACGGGCACTAGGACCTTGCCTCCCTTTCCTGACGTCAATGGCTGTGTCGGGGGACAGCTTACCAATCTCCCCAAAGCGCACTGCACCGGTTTATTAAATGCTGGGGTCGTCGCCTTACGAGGAGACAGGAGTCTTAGTCATCCCCTGTGGCTCTGACCGCGTGGGGTCTGGACTGTGTCCATATTCAGTCAGGAGGCTGCGTGCCAGAGCTGCGTGCGTCCAGCACTTTCTCTGAGTGGCCAGCGCTCTGTCTGAGCCACGACAGCTAGGACAAAGGGACCTGTGCGGAAACTTCTCAGCTACAAACTGGTCAAGAGGCGGGGCGAGGACGAAATCTGAGAGAGAAGCCAGAACGCACTGCGACGATTCGCTTCCTTCAGGAGCTGTTTACTGTCGACGACACGCGAAGCACCGTGCCGGGCAAAAAAAAAAGTTTGAACCAAGGTCACCTTTACGAAGTACAGAAGGCTGCTCTTATAAACAAATGAATAAATAGATAAATAACAGAACGTCCGATACAGGTGAACTCACTCACACGCGCGTCCACACGTTCGCTCCGCAGGACCTCACTTTACGCGGGGACCCCGGAGACGAAACGGGAAACAAGGCGAGTCCGACCGAGGCAACGCCCGCCGCGCCTCGACATCTGGCAGGACCCTAAGACGGCTCCACGTCAGGGCGAATCTCAGAGACAGCCTTCCGGGCTCTGATGACACACCCTGTGCCCGGCGGGCGACAGACCATACTTCCGATGGGGAGGACTAAAAATACCCTCAGAATCGACGGAGTTACAGTCACCAGGCAAAAGCGGAGACCATGGCCTTCTGGAGTGAACCCTGTAATATCACAGTCGCCCACATTACTTGGGTTCCGAGACTCTTAGCGGCCCGAGCGGCTATGTGCTTTATGGTGACCGCATTTCAGAGCGGGGACGCCTGGTCCACGCTAAGGGCGGAGTGCGTACCAGATGGCAAAGAAGCACGTTTTAAAATGGTGAACTTTGTTCGTCATTAGGAAAACACACGTGAAAGCCACAATACACAGCGCTACGTATCTATTCGAACGGCCAACGTGAAACAAACACCACGACACAAAGCGAAGATGACAACCCGAGGCTGTCGCGGGTGCGTCTGACCGAGGAATCCCGCTCCCAGGCACCTAAGCAAGAGAGATGAAAATGTGTTCACGCAAAAACCGGACTCCTGTGGACGTCTACACAGCTAAAGTCACAACCCCTCAAAGGCGCAGACAGCCCAGGCGTTCTTTGGTGGGTGGCGGATGAGCTGACTGTGTGTCCACACGCCAACGCCCTGCGGCCACGTAAAGGAGCAGATTGCTGAGCAGGCCGCTGCATGGACGCATCTCACGTTCAGGACCTTAGTCAAAGCAGCCAGACCCAGGGGCTACTGACTGTCTGTCTCCCGTTACAGGATGCTTTGGTGATGGACAGAAAACAGACCAGCCGCTACCGGGGGCGAGGGGTAGAGACAGATGACACAGAGGAGGAAAAGGGAACATTTGGGGCGAAAGGAATGTTTTACATCGTCACTGTGGTGATAACTCGCATGCCAGTAAGCGTTTGTCAAAACTCAGAGCTGTATGCCAAAAAGGTGAATTCTATTATGTGGTACGTATACTTCATAAAGCTGACTGCAAAAAAGGAATTCGATATCTGTATCTCCACATTCACGGCATTATTCACAACGAACGAGAGGTGGAAGTGACCCGAGTGCCCGGCGACAGGTGAAGGGTCACGCGATGTGGTGCATCCACGCCCTGGACCAGCGGTCAGCCTCAGAGAGGACGGGGATTCCGCCGCCCGCTGCGACACAGGTGAACCTAGAGGATGCTGTGCTGGGCGACGTAAGCCAGTCACGTCAAGTTCAATACCATATGATTCTACTTTACGAGGTCTCCAGAGGGGTCAAACTCACAGGGACAGAAAGCAGGATGGTGGTGCCGGGATGGGGGAGGGGGCGGGGGAGGAAGTCACTGGTTCATGGGGACAGGGTTTCGGTTTGGGACGATAGAAATGTCCTGGACATGGACGGTGACTACGGCTGCACGACATTATGAACGTACTTTATGCCACTGAACTGGACACTAAAAAGTGGTTAAGACAACAAATTTTATGTTGTGTATTTTACAATTCAAAATATTTTTTTTAAAAATAAAGGTAAAATACATTTTTAGAAAATCTTTTTTAAAAAAAGCCTTTGGAAATCTGCGAGTCTAGCCTCCTCATTTTAAAGACGGGGAAACTGAGGTTCATCAAAGAGGAAAAACTCGCTCAAGACCAAGCGACGGCAGTGACGGGGCGGGCCCGTGGGCTCCCGTCTCGTCACCCGAAGCGCTTTCCCGGAGAATCGGCTCTCCCAGCAGCTCGCCGGGGCTCCTGGTGATCAGTCAGGTGAGGCAATGACCCGCTCTGAATAAATTCAAATATATACAGGGCGCCACCAAAACGACAGGTGGAAACCTAGGTCAAGGTCCGGGGGGATGGCACGCGGAGGGGCTGGCGTTAACCGAAGGGGTTTTCTGCGGATTTCCATCAGGGTAACGCAGGACGACGCCCCCTGCGCGACTGAGGGCCCGAGGAAGGTTTCGCGTGACCAGAGCTTCCGGGCCTGGCTGCTGCGTTTCGGTTTCTCTTCACGTGTTTTTGGCACGAGCAGAACTCACCCTGTTCTTTTCCGTTACACACGGCGACTCCATTTTCCGTGACGCCCTCTCCATCTGAGCTTGGGCGCTCCGAGGACAGTTTCTGTAAGGATAAAAAGGAGTAAGTTCTCACAGTGGTCGCACTGGCCAAGGGATGTATCACGGACCAACCAAAAGTTATCTCAAAGCTGAAAGAAAATGCGGGCCAAATTCAGAGCAATCCAGGCAGTTAAGGGCTCAACTATAACACAGACTAGCTGACCGGCTTGTTATCAAAAGCCTGCAAAACATCAAAAGAACAGAAAAAAGCTCAGAAGTCATACTAACACACACTATAGTACCATGCCTATTCTGTTCAAATCACGTTCTTACAAATCATTTTGAAAAAAAAAAAAAAAGTTAAGATTACAAAAAAGGTTCCCCCTCACCAAGCCATATGACGCTTCCAGAAAGCAATACTGTAGGTGGCTTGTTTGATTTCCTCCCGTCCTTTTCCAGTAAGTGGACGAGTGTCAAGTACCCGCTTGTAACAAGTGCTTGGAATGGGCACACAGGCAGACAAGCTGCTATTAAAAGCATTGCAGGCACCGGACTACTAGTCCTTATAGCTGGAGTCCGGGAGCATCATCAGAACTCTAAGCTGGTATCTGAGGAAGAGACATCTTTCACGGCTGGAACCCTTCCGCTCCGAGCAGAGGACGTGTGGGTCACAGTGGAGGACACGGGCACCAAACGGCCCTCTCAGAGCCTCTGCATCGTAGCCCAGTGCCACAGGGACTGGCCGGCCGGAAGAAAAACCAAATATCCGGGTGATATCAGGACACGGGGGAGCACATGTGCTCAACTCACAATGCGAGGTCCAGGCGATGTGGGCCAAGGATGCGACAGGCGTTCGCCGTCCCAGAGCAGTGCTGGGAAAAGCCGCAGGGAAAGAATCAATGGCATTCAGTGGGAACCTCACCCATGCCAAGTCCCAGCGAGAGGGTGACCGAAAGCCAGTGCTGTCCCAGCCCTCAGGCTGGGGAGGGTTTCCTGGGAACCAGGTCAACCGCGCTGGACAGGCCGGGACAGCCTCAGAAACCAAGATGAGAGAGGGACACCTGCCAAGCCCCGTGAGCGGGTGACAGAGGGACTCTGACGCACTGCCGATGGGAGGTGACACGGGACCCACCTCTCTGGAAAGTGATTTGCTTAGTAACAGGGATCGAAATCTTTAAAAAAAATTCTATCCTTTGGTTTCGTAATCTAGCTTGTGGGAGTCTATTTATTCTCAGGTAATAGAGAAGCAGCAAAGACCTACGTGAAAGATGCCAGGTTATTTTAAACGGCCAAAAGAGAAACGAAGAGCCCATGATGGGGGCAGGTGACATAAACGATGGCAGGCAAACGAGTTCCACATTATTCAGCTGCCGAAAATACAGAAACACGCTTGGCTCATTATAAGTTTTCAAAAACCAAGAAAATTGGTAGTAATATAAAAGTGGAGAAAAAGCAGCATAAAAATTTTTATGCATCAGATTTCCGAACTATAAAAGAAACACGTGAACAGGGAAAACCGATTCAAAATATGCAGAGGAGCTGCCTCCTCTACGGGGTGGACTCGTCGGCGATTTTATTCCTCCTATTTGCGTTTCTCTGAACTTTCTGAACTTTCCACATCAAGCAGATGCTAGTTTTGTAATCAGGAAAAAAAGTGACAGGCCTGTAATACCAGGACGAGGGTTGTGAGGTTAACTTTATGTGTCAACCTGGAGGGTGTTTTGCATGAGACTCATACTTAAACCGGTGAACTCTGAGGAAAGCAGACTGCTCTCCCCGATGTGGTGGGCCTCGCCGGCCAGCTGCAGGCCAGCGCAGAGCAGTAGACCAGCCTCCCCCAGCAAGGGGGATTCTCCAGCAGGCGGCTTTCGGACGCCATCTGCTGGCCACATTGCAGATTTTGGACTTGTCAGCCTCCATAATCGCATGAGCCAATTTCTTATCATAAATCTTGAATATAAATAAACTCCTTATATAAATCACAGACACATACACACACATGAATGCACGCAAACATACCCTGTTGATTCTGTTTCTCTGGAGAATCCTTACTAAAATAAAAGCTGACAAAAAAGCATCTGTTCACTGTCAGGGGGCTAAACAGGGAGGACTTGTCAAGGTCCTGGGGTGCCGAGGACTTACGGAGCACCGCGTGGCAGGGGGCCAGGGATCTCCGTGGACACGGGATCTCTGTACGTAGAGACAAACGAAGCGTAGTCGGAAAGAGCCAGGCGTGTGCCGTGACAGGGACGGTTTAAACGTTTCTGCAAAAGGGCTCAGCCGGCCCACCCCGCTGCATCCTCACTGCGCCTTCCTACAGGGAGATGAGTACAGAGCAGAGGGGGCCGGGGAACACAGCCTGGTCTGCTGGGACTAAGCCCGCGGGGAGGGACGCTTATGCAGCGCCTGCTGTATCCCGGAAGGACGCAGACCTGCATTCGGATTCCTCTCTGCCACGTAATAGCCAGCTGACCTTGAACAAGGCCCTTAACGCCTTTAAGTCCATTTCTTCATCCAGAGCTGAGAATAATAAAACCAAACATGCGGTCTGTAAAATGACTAGCTCAAGCTGCGTGCAGAGTGGATACCTGACAAGCATAGGAAGTAGGATTACTGCCATTTCTCTCTCTCTTTCAACTACAAGTGCTGAAATTCTCAGAGAACGTCATCAAAACTTTGCGGAGGCCTAACTCCTATTGTGAGGCTACTACGCATAGGAAATCCACGCCCCTTACCTTCTCCAGTTCCGCCTTGTGCACTGGGGAGCTGGACGGGGGCGGGAACTCTGAATCCACCGGCCCACTGCAGCCGCTGTAGACCTCTCTGATCACCTGGAACAAGTGTCGACATTGGTTAGCACATCCACAGGCAGAGATACTTACATACGGGGTCAAAACTTGAGATGGACAGAGGTGTGTGGTCTGCGGGCTCAAAAGCGCCTGGCTTTCCGTTCCAGGAGGCCAGCACTCATCTGTTCGTTCGTTCATTCGCTCATGCATTCGCCGGTGTTGGGGTGGGTTCGGGATGCGGGGGAACGAGCACAAACGAGGGTCCTGTCTTGGGGGGGCTTCTATCCCAGGAAGACAGCGAGTTTCGCCAGGAAACGGAGGTCACACGAGGCAGCAGTGAGTCTGCACGGAAAGGTGGCCTTGAACAAGACGGCGTGGCTGAGACCGAGAGACCAAGAGAGGCCTGACTGGGGTGACATCTAAGCTGAGAGCTGGGTGGCAAGAAGGCTCCGGCATGTGCAGAACTGGTGGAAAGGGTTCTGGGCAGCGGGGACAGCGGGGACAGCAGGAACAGCAGGCACGAAGGCCTGTGGTGGCTGTGACGTGTTTGAGGACAACCCAGAGTTCCTGTGGCAGGAGGTGGGGCGCAGAGGCCAGGTCGCGTGGTGCCTTCGGGCCCAGAGAGGAGACTGGAGTCTATGAGGCGCAGCGGGAAGGCCTGCAGCGCCCCCAGGAGGGGCGTGACGGAACGGCGTCTGGGAAGCAGGGCGGTGCTGCGGTCAAGGGCACGCGCTCCGAGCCTCGCCGCCTGGCTGCGTCCTGGCCTCCACCTGGGCCCGACGAGTTCACCGTTCCGAGCGTCGGTGTCCCCCTCTGAGAAGAGCAGCTGCGGCAGCCCTACCTCCTAAATGCCTCAAGACAGTGCCCAACCGTACGAACACTCGGTCCCCGGAAGGTGGTAGAGGGCCGGGCACGCGTGTCTTCGGGGGGGAAATGATACAGGTGCCAGGAAAAAGCGCAGGAAAGTGCGTGAGAGGCCACTGCCGCAGCCCCGCGGGTGACAGATGGCGCGCGTGGACTGCAGCGGCCGCGCTGGGGACAGAGAGGAGCAAATGGGCCCGGGACGCGATCCGGAGGGAGACTCCGTCGGCCCCGCTGACGGGCTGGGTGTGGGACACGAGGGAAAGGCCGAGTCCAAGATGGCGCCCGGTTCTAGAGACTGGCTGACGCCACCTACTCACACGGAGACGACGGAGAGAAACGGGTCGGGTGAGACTGAGGGGGATACCTCTGGAGGCGAAGGCAAATTTCCAGCCAGAGCTAGAAACAAACGAGGGAGTCAGTGGCCAAAGGCTGACGATCGCAGCCTGGGTGGGGTGAGTCACCAGCAGGGAGGGCGACACAGAGCGGAACGAAGATCCGGAGGAAAGGCTGAAGGCCGGTCAGCACGAGGGCTGGAGCCAAAGCAAGGAGGCTGGGGGAGACCGGGCCGGAGCGGACAGGGAGGCGGGAGGGAAGCGCACCGCGGAGCGGCAGGAGGGGGCGCTGCGGCAGACAGCCCGGCACACGGCCTCCCGGAAGTTTCTGTCTGTCTGTCTGTCGGGGAGCCTGCTGGAGCGCATTCGCGCTGGGAGGGACACCTCGGGTGATGAGCGGGCGGAGCCGGGAGGGGCCTGGGGTCTAGAGAAGGCAGGGCGAGGAGGCCGCACGGCTGTCGCGCTCGGCCCTGGGAGTCGAACACGGCCCCGTCTGACCCGCTCTACTCCTCAGTGACTTGTGAGGCAGGAACGCCCGTGACTAGCTGAAGGTCGGAGCCTCCCTGAGCCTCGGTTTCCTCACTCCCAGCAAAGGAAGGGGTGTCAAGATGGCCTGTCTTGCTATATAACTATGTGGCTAAGAGAAAATGAGACCTTATATGCAAAAAGCCTCAGCTGGCGTCCAGCGCACAGATGCTCGCAACACGGTGGCGGCTGTCGTCACCGACACCGTCATCACGTGAGCGGCCCGTGATTTGTGGCGAGAGCTCGCAAAACGATCCTGGCCTAGACTTCCAGGTGTGAGGTCTGCAGCATGTAAGCAGTGGTCCTTGGCACTACTGGTGTTCACAGCCGCCCCTCCGTCACCCACTGTCCCTGCCGTCGTTACCGAGCTCCCACAGGAGCTGGGCGTGATTCTGATCACTGAGGACACGCAGTAAATAAGACAGGCAAGATTCTGGGTCGGTGGAACCTACATTCTTGTAACAGGAAAGTCAGCAGGCAAGTCTTTCAAAATGTCTTCTACCCTTTTTGGAACGAAGCTGCAGTTCTGAGTTTAACCCAAGCGCCTTCTGGGCAGAAAAGAAACGCCCCAGTCCCAGATATCTGTGTAGTAAGTAATTTTGCAATATGATCTCAACAGACATCCAGATTCACTTGGCCTGCACTGCTGCTGGGGTCAGAGCCAGGGACTCACAGCCCAGTGTTTCCAGCCATTTTGCTGCTCAGCTGTTTTAGGAATAAAGAGCGATGTCCACGTTTGAGACTAAAACAGGAAAAAGGAAAAGGAAGAAAAAGCCCAGAAACACTTGCCCTTGCAGAGTCCGAGGCATGAAAGCGTAGCCAGGGGGGACGGCGAGCCGGCGACCTGGGCCTTCTACACGTCTGGAAGGGGAATCCGCGAGCCTCTCTGCTTCGCGCTGATCTCCCTGCTGAGGGACGTCTTTGCTGATCCCTCACCTCCCGATGTGTCTATCAAATCTCCAGGTGCCGAGGCAAATTTTTATTTGATCTAAAGACAAGAGTTT